TTTGGAAGAAAATTCTCTTTTGCCCATGAGCAAATTTAAACTCTCTTCCCCTGGACTGTTGCACTGTATCAAAAGTATTTCCTCTGAGAACTGCTAGTAGCAATTAGCACAAGCAAATTATTTTGATTTTTTTTTTTCCATTTTAGTTTGGTCTAAATTGGAGATTATCAAAAGCTAAAGTTAATAGTGATTCTGCTCTATTTATCTGTATAGACTGTGGAGCAGGGATACAGAGGGCTTTAGAAAAAAGACAGAAGACTAGCAACTGATCACATTTAACAAATAGGTTCTGATATTTATGATTAAGATGCCAGGTTTTCTTGGGGGAGAGAGGGAGCATCAAAAAAAAAAAAAATAGAATTCTTGTGCCATATTCCTCTCCAAAGTATTTAGTCCTCAGGAATTTCTGTAGTATTTGAAATATTTTGAATATTTAGGTTAATCAAGATTCAAGGATCCAGAAGATTTCAAAATTTTACCATTAAAACCCTTGAGGTCAAGAGAGCCTGGTTGCTTATCAGTTTGTTCAAAAACTTGGGAGGCGCAGCAGAATTTCTATTAATTGTGAATGTAAATCCTGAATAAGACAAAAGACTTTTTAAAATCCTAGTCTTCACATTTGGCTTTGCTTTAGAATTTTTACATGAAAAATAAACAAAGATAGGTGAAAGAATGCATTTATGGGGTATGGTTCTTTAGACGAAGCTAAACTGTTGAGCAGATCCTAAGTCATATTGATTAGAGGAATTTATTATGTGAATGAAGGAAAAAGGAGGAAACTTATTTCAAATGAGCAGTTCCTATTGGTACTTGTATCTCATTCTTGAGTATTATTCTTAGCAACTAGAACCTGTGGGAGGAAAAATATTTAGCAAATCACAAGTAGCAAAACTATTCAACACAATTTAAGTCTAAAAAATTATGTCCTGCAGACCTTTGAGACCCACATTGATTCTGAATGCAGAAGAATTATGGGAGTATTTTCTAAGATAAATTAAAATTACTCTATCCTGTGTATTCTATTCTGAAGTACAGCCTTGAATCAGAGTTAGACTCAAAGAGAAAAAAGAGGGGATCTACATTAGTTATGTGAAGGGATTGTTTGAATATGTGTATCATTCAGCTCTAGAAAGGAATTGCATTGAGATCACAAAAAGATTGTTACTGAAAATTTCTCTCTCTGTATGAAGATGGATAAGAATACCCCTTAGTCACATCATGGCTCAGTTGTCAGAGGTCCAATTGGCTTACATCATGTTGAACGTATGTTACTTCGTGTTGCAAACCATGATATTTCCTTTTTGAACTCTCATATCAAATGATGTGTTTGTTTTTTTAAAGCACTGCTCCAAGTCAGTATTAATTTAGTAATTGTATTGTTTTAGTGGTTATATTTAATGGATATCCTCAGCACGTAAAAATGAAAAAATTGTTCTTTAACTCGCTGTGGTAGCTGGGTATATGAGTGAACACATTCTCATGCACATGTTTTATAAATCATTCCTTCTTATGTCTGAAATAAAATTTAAAAACAAAACAAAAAATAATAGATCAGAAACTAATGTTGTAATTTAAACCTATTTGAATTTCCTAATGCCCTTCAATTTTTCATAGCTTTTAAAGGTATGATTTTATATGTATTTTAATCTTGCTGAATATATCTCCATAATAATAGGAATAATAAAATTAAATTAAACTTGATTTTAAAAAAAAAGTTTCTAAAGATGTGGTGGGGAATAGTTGTCGTTTCTGTCTTTCTTGAAGGTCTAGAGTTATAACAAATCCATTTTTCCTTGTCATTTCTTCTATGATTGTCCCACTTCCTTTTTTTACCTTGGTCTCGTTGGTCTATTCTTGTCAAATGCCCTACTTCTGAGAAATTTCAGTCCATTACATTTTTTCCTTTCTGCAGTCAGCCTTCCACACTGAGAAAGAAGAACTCCAGGCTGACTGACTCTGAGATTCCTTTGAACTTTATTCTGAAAAAGATCTCATTGCCACCAGTCAAAGGTTACTTATGTACATACCAAATGAAGCCAATGGAGTTTTTTGTTGCTAGGAAATAGCATTATAGGATTTCTTTGGGACTACAGAAAATGCGCTTGCCCATCAATATTATATCCATGCACTCATCTAACCAGTAGTCCTAACTCAGTCCACTCTATAAAGTGGGGAATAACCTCCATTTCTACTGAAATTATCTTTCTCTATCACATGCAATATAGATGTAGTAGCAGCCTCTCTGTAAGTGTTCAAGTCTGGGTTGACAGAGAAATTTAGGTCTTTAAGTGCCATTGAAATGCCTCCGGAGTATCTTTCAGGACCTAGGACTCCTTTCTTATTAGACACACTGCAACAGAACAAAAATATCCTAAAGGAGATGCAGATTGTTAATGATTGCATTTATGAGACTTAACTGGTTTGGTGAGCATGGAGGAGTGTGTTGATAAAAGGTCTAATGGATAAACTGAGTGCCTTTTTAACTGATCTTAAAAAAGAAATAGTTTTTATAGTGAGCTTGACTTAATTTTGTTTCTGTTCTCCCCAAACCAGAGGGTCTGCTTCCCTATCCTGTGAGTAAAGACTTCCCCTAGGGTTAAATGAATGGGAGAACTTGCAAGAAAGGAAGCTATCCTTTAGGTTAAGAAAGTGGAAAAACAACTGATCTGCATGACCTCAGCTTATATTAGACATCAGCTTATTATGAATAAACACATAAAATATAATTCTTTCCTTAATATTACTGTCTCTTTAGCTTTAGGTATGTTTTTTTTGTTTGTTTTTGTTGTTTATATTACCTCAGCTGCTCTTTATCAATTTTTTCTTGGACCCCACACTGAATGTGATTCAAATTTTCTGTTTAGGAATCTGTATTCATAGAAGTACAGAACTGACTTTTTGTTGGTGCTGATTTGAATTATGAGAGCTGGGAATGTATTTAAAGGTAACTTAATGTCTGTGAGTGACTCCAAACCACCACGGTACATTATTTAATATGATTTGATAAATTACTTACAGAGAGCGTTTTCAATATTTTATCTTTTCCTTCTAGTTTATCCAAGTAACCAGTTGTATATGGCAGGCATCTGAGGTGCAATAGAGAAACTGGAACATTAGTGTGTGTTGTTTGCAGCTTACTTAGATATTTCTATGATGGGGAATAACAGTCTCCCGCAATTAATCTGTTACAAGAAAGGTAAAAAGTAGATGACTTTCCAGGAAAGTAATAAGGAATTGGGCCAGTAAAGCTGTTCTTAAATGTTTTTGCTTTGTTTTACCCATTGCCCCAAATAAGCAGCGAGGCTCCTAAATGTTCATCCTTATAGTTGGAGATACTAACCCAAATTCAAATTACTGTTTTCCTTACCGCTGATCTTACAGAGATATAGATGATGATTAAGCTTAGGTTGATTCATGTGAATCCTTTTGGGATTATAGCTAGTGGGTTGCTATAATGCCTCTCACCTGTTCCAGAAAGCAGTAACGAGATGCTGCTGCAGAGCACAGCTGTAGTCAGCAGGTGCTTCATACAGACTGGCAGCGTTTCTGAGCAACAGTAGCACAGTAAGGATTATCGAACATACGAGATCTACCAGTCATATTCCTTGCAGAATGGAGTTGTCTGCTGTTGACTGGGTGGACTGATATTACTTAGTAGTTTCTTTTATTCATTGGTATGTGTTTACATTAAAAAAAGATTACAGCATCTGTTTCAAAAAGTCAAATATATATGAAGCCACATTAGTTATTTATATGTGGGACCTTAAAGGCGGTATTACAAATTGTGCAGAGCAGTTGCTGACTCTTGGTCTGCCGTTTATTTGAAACATGTATTGGAGCACAACTGATCTACTGAACTTCTGTTCATGGTAGCATTCCTTCAGTAAGCTGGGGCCTTACTCCTTTTTCTACAATATTATAATGATTCTTGTAAAAGATGCACTCTTTTTATGCCTGACTGAAAAGTTTTTGTAAAAATAATAATTGAAGCAAAAACCAGAAAGGGACTGTAGCTGAAGAAAATGAAAAAGCAGAATGATGGCACCTGTTCACTGTCACTCCTAACATTATCAAACTGAGCTACTGCTTTCCACTAGAGGTTGTCCCAACCCATCTGGCCTGTGCAGTTTTCTAATAGCCAGGGAATTTGGACAGAGACTTTGTGTGAATCCTTATCCTCTCTGTACAAGTAATAAGAGCTTTCCTCCTAAACACACTTTACTAGATAATTCTGTTATCCATCAACATGGAACAATGGAACTGCACTTGCCAGAATTTACATCTTGACTAATTATTTCTGCTTTTATTTAAATTAGTTTTTAAGCTTCTGCTTTATTCTGGCAACAGGCCCAAGTCTTTGGTAACTGAACACAAGTCTTCACATATCCTTAATTAGCAGCTCTTCCTCTTTTTAAATCTTGCTTCCTTTTTTTCCTATCTATCTTAGGGTTTGGGTTTTTTAAAACTAATTCTATTATGTCCTTTCAACATCAATTTCTTCTATTTTCTTCCTTTCTTTTTTCCTGTTTACTGGGTTTCTAGTCCTAACATATGTCTTCTACTAGTGCGAGAAGGTTTATCAAATTACTACTAACTGTGTGTTTCCGTGACTGACATTTTGTGCCATGTCCTTATGCAATCAGATCTAGAGCCTGATCAAAATGTTTTAACTCATGGCACTGAGTTCACTCATGGGCTCACGTCGCAGACAAATTACACATGCCTTCTAACCAATTTGGATAAACAAATACTCTGAGGAGAATCTGAGATATCTTTTTCATGGGATTTAATTTCTTCGACCTTCCAGAACCTCAGGCGATTGGAAGCATAACTATTCTCCACTTTACTAAAGATAAATCTCTCTCTTTTCAAATATATGTACCTACATGTGCACTTATTTACTTATAGCTAAATAAGGTCATAAAAAAAAAAATCTAGGATGTTTTAACTATTTCATTGACTTTTCAGATTGTTTTTAAGCTGTTTTTTAAACTTTAAAGGCAACACTGATAGTGAACGGTTCCAAATGGTAAAACAGAAAATCCCCTTCAAATATAACCGGCCTGTAGAGGAGTGGCTGCAGGAAAAAGGTAACAGTCATTAAAACTTTCATTTTAAACCCATTTGATTCTAAACTCTCATTTTTAAAGCCTGCAAATAAATGTTTCTTAAATGATAATCGCCTGCTGCATAAATGACTGTTTTAATTTTCATTATAATTTGTGTCAGCTTCCACCTGCCATATGTTGATAAATCATGCTATAATACATTGCTATTAAAATGCAGTTAAAGGGACGAAATTCTAAGCTTGCTATAATAGTAATGACAAACAAACAAGCGAAAATTCAGGAGATGTTTTCTAAAAGAAAAAAACGAAGAAGAGTGAAGAGCAACAACATGTATTATGGCAATTTAACCACTGCATGATTTTCCTACTTTGATTTGGTTTTAAGATACATTTATATATTTATTATCAATGTTTTGTTAAGAGATTTTCAAATCCACTTGTTAAACCACTTCCTTTAAGTTTCTTTTTTTTCTCATGAGTCTAATTAGCCACTATGGCTATGTATTTCCTAATTGTATTAAGATAACTAAACAATTTTTAAAAATGTTGTAAAGAAAACATTTTTTAACATTTTAATTTAAATTCCAGTGAGGGAGACAGAGAAAGATGATTGTTCTGTCTGGAGTACAGTTTGAACACTCAAATGATGCATTTGTCTAAGTTATGGGTCAAATTTTTCTCTAACATAATCTCAAGCAGGGCTACTTAATTTTGTGGGTTTTCCTGGAGTAATTGGCCTCAGTTCAGCAGAAGACTTGTTAACATGAATAAGTCCAGAGGGCTTGAATGAAAGTTCTGCACACCTGTTGAAATGAGACTTGTGTCAGAACAGTAATGTTTTCTTGCCAGGAATTTGGAGGGGAAAAAGTCTTAGATGTAGAGCCCATTTCAAAGCCTGTTGAAGGTAACAGAATGACTTACTGATTTCAGTAGGGTTTGGACTAGGCTCTTGGTAATACAGTGAAGTTTAAGTCAGGAAGATCTTCTCCTTCTAAACTAAATGGGGCATTAAAAAAAAAAAATCACTGTAACTAACTCCTTGCCTTGAAATCTAGATGAAACAGAACACAATCTTCTCTTGTTTCCTTTCATGAAAACAGTGCTAATAGAAGAGGGTGACCTTTGAACTCAGATCTTGCATTTTCTGTGCTGATTTAGACCACAGTTCTTAATGCATCTTCCAAGAAGGAAAACCAAGGACTGGAAAAATATAATTTATATTCTGTTTCAAATTTCTAACCTCAGCTGAATTAACAGATTGGTTTATCCAGTACAAATTAAGGTCAGGGAGGATGTGGCTAAATACACTCAAAATATTTTTATGTGAAGGGCCTGATCCTGCAAAGTGTTGTGCACACTCAGTTCCTGTTGACTTCAATGAGAGCTGACAGTGTTGCTCGCTTTTCAGGTTTGGTCTACAATGGTGTAATGTTTATAACTAAAGCTAAAGTATTTTGAAAATAAGGCAAAAATATTTGTATAACCAAAACAGAAATATTCTTTTACCACTAGTTTTTTATGAACAGTTAATTCAGCTAAATGTTAAATAAATTTTAAGATAACAATAAACAGAAAATGCTTATTGAGTCTCACTGGGTTGCCCTGTTAATTTACAAGATCAAACTAAAATATATAAATAAAGTTTAACACTAAAAAGATAATAATTTTGGTAAATCTGAATTGCTAAAGTCCCTTTAACACTAAAGACAGTGATTGCCTTAGTTTTGTTAAAACAGATGCATGTCTAATTCCTTGATGCAATTCATGTGCTTGAGAAACCCATCTTTGTTTTCTTTTGGTTTGGTTTTGGGTTTGCTTTGATTTTTTTTTTTCTTTTTGGTTTTCTACCAAATCTTTTATTTTATGTCACTGCTTCTCCAAGTTTGAGCTTAAAAGCATGCCAAGGCACTTCCATTTGTAAGCCATCCTGAAGTTTTGAACTGAAGTCTACCTTTTGTGGATATTGATGCTTTGTTAAAAGACAATCACACATGCACTAGGGTCTAAAAGAGACAATATTTGACTGTTCAGACTCTCTCAAGGCACTGGATGTTTTTAGGCTAGAAAGGCAGAGCCATGTTTTACTAAAGTGAAATGAAATTCAGTCTTCCCACTTTGTGTGAGGGAATGACATTGTGCAGTGTAACAGCTGAGAAAATACAGCTTTGTTCTTTTCGTTCCAAAGTATGTAGATTAGGTACCACTCAAAACATTATAAGAATGAGTAATTTATGTAGCTTTTCACCAACCTGCTCATCCATCTAACAATTAAAGTAATGTGGAAACCTTCTATCGGAAGACTTTATAAAGATGATGAGTGAAAGGATAGCTTGCTATCAAAATGGAGCAAGATGGACTGATGGATGAAGGAATATATTCATCAAAGAGACAGCATATAGAATAGCTGTCTTGCCCATATGAGTTCTTGGCTCGGGTGAGGTAAGATGAAACACTTTTTGATTGACATTTGGTACCACTGCTATGTTATTCATAATAATGAAATAGTTCATTCTTGGATAACACAACATCTTTCTGAAGTGACATCATTACTGGCTTGGGGGCGCTTTTAAATTTTATAAATTAGTTGACAATATTTTTAAGAGGAGCCCAGGTTTACAGTCTTGAATTGTATGAGTAATGAGCAAAATATTAAATGCTATTAACCTCACTGAGATTATGGATGTGAATATAAAAAGAAGTATTAGTCTTAAATTGTTCAACTTGAGTAGTCATAAATCGAGCAGATTTCCTTAGCAGAATACCTGGTGTCTGCTAAGGCACAGATGTTACCTGTTCTGCAACTGGATGAGCTAATAAAGACCCAGAAGTATCTCATCAAAAGGACTGATCCCAGAAGTCCTTAATTATTCAAATCTTTCTTACCTGTAAAGTCTCATTGATGTAAGTGACTGTACTTTTGAAGCAAGACCTATTAGTGTGAATTAGGATTTGCAAGATCAGGCCCTTTTCTGTAGTGTTACAGAAAAGTTAAGATTTCTCTGTGATATTTTTAATTAGAGTTCAGTTTTCCAAATGAAGAAGTCAATGAGAGAGCAAACAAAGAAACAAGAGCCTGAACAATTCAGAATATTTTAAAAACACCTCAGAAACTTAAAATACGCTCAAAATTTGTCTTTAGTATGACACTAAAATAGCAGTAGGAAGAGTTCTCTGTGGGAAAAAAAGGACTGTAATTCTGCAGTCCTTACAGATCTAGTGGAATTTACTAATGTAATAAAATTCAGTGGCCAAATAAATTTTAGTTAGAGGAAGTAAGGGATTCCAATCAATATAATCCAAAAATTATTAGAAGAGACATGGTGACAGAATTAAGTGTACATTCTCTCAACAGTTTTTTCTCATTCCATATGCATTTCCCTGTTGTCTTTATTCATGTGGGTGTACACCATCTTAGAGTGAAGAATGAGGAATTCCAGGTTGTAGGTGACTGCAACAAGTGATTGTTCTTTTAGCAAACACAGTTCTAGTTGCAGTGCAGTGATGGTACATGTAGCATTAACTAAATGGTGCAGTGCATGAATCCTGGTCTAGAAAACCGCTGAACAAACAATGAAGATCCCACACACAATCCAAGTCTTTTTTTACTGGAATGGGGTCACCTCCTTGGTGTACACTTTCTTTCAATATTTGAAGACACAGGTGAAGGCCCAGAATTGGAAACATGGCCTTTTTTTTTATCCTTAATATACCAACTCCTCATTCTTGAAAATAAAGCAAGGGATATGACAGACATGTCTAAAGCTGTGCTATGAGCTTGAGTTAGAATAGATGACATCCTGAGGAGAGTAATCCTCCAGTAAAAGTGAGAGAGCCCCTTTTCTCTCATGGTTTGGGGAACTCTCTTACCTGAAGCAGCAAAAATTCTCCGTACTCATTATTGTCCACCTTTTCCCCTTTGGCAAAAGATGAACAAAGATTCAGTATTGATTCAAAGGAAGAAAGGAATGGAAATGGAAATAGAAAACTTATAACTGTCAGTACCTTCCATCCATTTTCAGGGATAGCATCTCAAGATTAGCGAATAACTCCCTGTTCTTTACTCATCTTACCTCTACTTTTTGGCATTCTTATCATGAGTGAGGTAGGAAGGAGGGAACAGCGGTGAGTGACATGTCTGAGTTCATAGGGGTAGGGGCAATACGGAGAGAAATATAGTGCTAGAGGGAGGGAACATGTTAGAAGAAGGGAAAATGGTGTAGTAAAGATCTTACAGCATATCCTTTAAAAAAATCCAAAGCACAACAGTACAGAAAAGAAAAGCAAACTCTGAGGACGTGGTAGGGGAAAGGAATTTGACCTTCTACAGTGTACAGTGCCATTTCCTCTACCTCAGAGAGGAGCTGGGCTGAGACGGCTGAATATCTTGACAGATATTGTTATTGGATTCTATTTTCCTCATATACAAGAATAAAGGCTCTGTTTACATTCTTAGGATGTGTGGCTTCAGTGCATGTTTGTTGATGTTTTAATAGACATATGTTGCCTCTGGCAAGTTTAAAACCTCCTGAGATGCAGAATATCGCATCAAGTGTTTCACACTTCCCAGGGGAAGGATACCCTCCATTTTTATTTTTCATTTCTTCATCAATGCAGTTACTCCACCCTGATCAAGTCCTAATTTTTCATTTACAAATCTGTGGGTGAGGAGCACAAGGGATGTGCAGCCCACCTCCACATGTCTGTATGTTACACCTGTCCATACACTGTTACTTAGTTAGCTCGGGCCGTCTTTGGGGACGGGAACTACTTTCAGATACATTTCTTCTCTTGTTCCCGTTCTCTTCCCCATGGTCCATCCTGTCACCATAAGATGATGCTACACCGCATCACCACTTGACTTCAAGACCCGTCACGACGACCACCAAAATTGGTGAGCTCCCCCTCGTATTTTGATCTACTCTAACCACTGGCTGTGAAGGAATGAGCAGTGGGTTTTATGTTGTACTTTGCTACATGGTGGCATTCTGCACCTCTTATCAGCTTGCACTAGATAGAGAAAATGGCAAGTGAGAACTGGGGAGTGGGAATGGGATGGGAACATGTCCTTCAAACTTCATAAAAATGGGAAAACACCGTAAGATATTTGAATGGCGATTGACTTGATGCTGCATTGATAATTCTTGTGAGCTCTGTCCAGTCTGATTGTCTGCTAATTCAACAGATTCCAGGTGTCATGCCCCTAATCTTCTGAGGAATAGTGAAGTTATAGGCACTGCCTTTGCACTTCATGAAGCAATTTATTTCTTAACATGGTCAACTAGTACAGCCTGGGATATAAACAATATTTATAGAGCAGTCCAGGCTGAATGTGGTGTAAGTGTACTGCAAACACAGGCGAATTGGCAATTGTTACTAGATTTATTTTTAATAAATACTTTTTTTATTACATGTTATATTAGACCACTTCTACCACTCAAGGTGTGACCTTGACTAAACCACATGACCTGCCTCCATTTGAATTTCACTGTCTGTAAGAGGGGAGTCACACATTAGGCATTCTGGGGCTTAACTGTCTGAAGCACTGTTATCTTCACTATTTCAAAAGCTTTACTCTTTCAGAGACATCACAAATGTTTGCATTTGCTGTTTATTGGATTTCGATTTGTGAGCCTTCACAACACAAACTTTACAGGTGAAAACTTATGGCTGATATTGTCATAAGATTCTTATTCAATCCTTATATCACCATATCATTTTTTTCTGATGTTTTACTGTCTTCAAGCCACCCCTTAAAACAACTGCATTAATAAAAGTGGTTCTATGAGTTAATTCTATCCTTTAACAGTCAAAATAGGAGATTTATTTATAGGCTAAAACCTGACAGGTACTGTAATCTGAATTGATAGTAGAAAAATGGCCACATATTGAAGTCCTATTTGTAGTTTAAAATGGCTCCAAGACTAAAAGAGTGAGTTCAAATTTCTGAGTCAAAGCTCCTCCAGATTTGTGTGAGTGGATGCTGAAGTATGAGGTTTCAGGTTATCTTTCAGGATAATCTTCCTTATTAATGATCTTTAGGCAGTACATTTCCATACTGTCTCTCTACAGTCATAATCACTACCAAGAATGAATCTACTTCTTTTTTGTCTGTGATTTCTGGCCAGGGTTCAGTGTAATATGCAAAGTGAAGGAAATGTCTGGCAATAATGTTATTCACCCCTCCTCACTAGGACGACAGTTAACGATCTTCAACACCCAGGCGCAAATAGCCATAGGAGGGAAGGACAGAGGGCGTCTCTTTCAAGGCCAGCTCTCCGGTCTCTATTACAATGGCTTGAAAGTGCTGAACATGGCAGCGGAGAACAACCCCAACATTAAAATCAATGGAAGTGTCCGACTCGTTGGGGAAGTCCCTTCCATCTTGGGAACAACACCCACAACCTCTGTGCCACCGGAAATGTCTACTACAGTCATGGAAACCACAACTACGATGGCAACCACTACAACCCGAAAAAATCGTTCACCACCCAGCATCCAGGTGAGTCAATTAGTCTTCTGCATTTCTTTGGGTTTTAATTAGTCTTGCTGCTCACTTGTAAGTTCACAGAAGTCATATTCTCTGAGTCAGGTTGCAGGTAACTCTTTATTTTAACAATGTTGTATACGGTAAATCACAAAAAGATGTTGTCCTCCTGTGTCGGTGAACAAACAGCTGGATGCATTGTTATGGTACATGTATGGGGTAATGGAGACAAATTTTGCTTTTGTTCTAGTGCAACCATTTTTATGTAAGTAGGATTGCCCCAATGTGAACAAGAACATGCTTTTAACTATGTTTACAGATTCCATATGTGGGGAAATGTATTTCTGAGAGAGTTACAAAGCTTAGTGGGGTTGGGTGTATGGTTATTTATTAATATGACAGTATGTACTGCTGCAATAGTGACATTCATAATGAGGAAAAAAGCGGTGGAGCATTACTTCCATTTAGAGTCATTTTTCATTTCCCTTTTATAGCCTTCCTGCAGAGAATTTTGAAGGAACGCTATCGAGATCAGTTTCTTGCAAAATGTAGATGTTCCAACCTATTTCGTAAAAATCATTCCTACAAAAAATTAATTTCAGAGGTTCTGATTTAATTATGTCAATGTAGTTATTTCAACCCTAAATATATTGGTTTTGAAATGACTTCTGTGGCAGCCAGAATATGGTACTGACTAGAAATAAATACCTTCAGTTGTCTCTCCTTGTCTGTGCAAAGAAAAGAATCCTGCAAATGACCAGTCTGAGCTGTGGATGAGATTCTGAAAATTATTTATTTCAGGGGTGTATATCATGTTATCAACTAAAATGAAACATTTGTTTTGAAATCATTAAAGAGATATAGCTACTGAAGAGACTCTAAAAAGGGCCTCAAGAATGGTTAAGAGGCTGGAGCATTTCTTCTATGAGTAAAGGCTGAGAGAGCTGGGATTGTTCAGCCTGGAAAAGCAAAGACTCATGGGGGGGTCTTATCAGTGTGTACAAATACTTGAAGGAAGAGTATAAAGACAATACTGGTTCTCAGTGACAGGACCAAAGGCAAGGGGCACAAATCAAAATACAGGATTTTCCCTCTAAACATCAGGAAACATTTTTAATGTGAGAGTGACTGAGCATTGGCACAAGTTGCCCAGAGTGCTTGTGGAGTTTTCATGTTCATAACTATTCAAAACTCATATGCACATGGTCCTGGACAACTGGCTCTGGGTGACCTTACTTGGGTAGGGGTATGGACTAGATGACCTCCACAGGTCCCTTCCAACCACAACTATTCTGTTACTCTGTTAGGTGCCTCTGACTGCAGTAGAATTTACAACTATTAGAGGAATTAATTCCAAGCCAAGGTTTAACAGTACCCCCTTTAGTACTCTGTAAATCCAGATGGAAGCAGGACTGGAATTAACTGAGTCAGTAGACTCAAATACCCGATAGGTGATTTATAAAGTCTCAGTCAAATGAGGGGAAATTATCCGAGGTTTGGCCACTGTTGTCACAAACTTTGAAAGAATTACAGTTTCTTCTCCGCAGCGATTAGTTCTAATTTTAGAGAAAACGTTGTCTCTCCAGAGGTATAAAATCTGTGGTTCTTATCCTTCCCTCTATAATTTTTAAAGGTAGCAGTGTTTAGCTAAAGTGTTTAGCTATAGCAGTGTAACAGAGAGTAGCACTGGGCCTTTTTGAGTTGGGTCAAGCTGGAAATGACACTGGCTTACTTAAAGAGGAACTCTTTTAGAAAGCTTCCTGCCTAGCCTACATGGCAGCTCACTCAGCCTACAGAGACCACTGTGTACTGAAAGAGCATCAAGAAGATTTAATAAAGTGTCAAAGTGCTTCTAAAAACATGGTTAGAGCAGCGATTTCCTGGATACACATGCACCACAACAAATGGCCTCATCTCAGCTGATATTAAAGCAATAACTCTTTGACACTTCATGCTACCCGCTGAAAGAAAAATAAAGGTCAATATATACCTCTATTACAAGTTTCTGCATTTCAATATTGGGCCATTTTATTGCTGTCACAGCACAGATGGCTCGCCTTTCTTCCTTACTTTTGGTGGAATTTGATTCTGTCAGCTTAAGTTGCATTATTTGTGTGGTGAAAGTGAGAAGAAATTGTCTTTTTCTGTTTGGGCAGTATCTCCAGTCATGGTTTTTCAAGTACCTAATGGTTATTTTATCTTACTTGTGTTTGACATCACCATCATCATGCCTACTTACAACTTTAGATCTAAGTGGTGGAAAAATCTAATAGAACAAGTTTGTTATTGGGGAACATAAAATATAGCTACCTAAGGCTATGAGCAGTACAAATGCAGTTAGTTATTACCTTGTTCCAGCTTTCTCTTCTCCTTTCTGTTCAGAAATCAACATTTTTTCTTTGCTTTCAGGGTTATTCAAAGTTTAGCCTCTTCTCTCCTGATTCTGATCAGCATGATTCAAGCGTTTTTTTGCTCACTCCTTATATTTGATTATAAGAATCTTTCTGCTTCCCAGTACCATATACAACTCAACAGCAGGTTGTTTTTCCAACTCTCCTGTCACCGTGATGCATGTCAGAAAGTTGTCAGAGGATAGGCTGATGATGGTCTAAGGCAGCTGTTTATCAAGTCAATCCATGTTGTCACCTTTTTTTTTTTTGTTTTATTATCCATGTTTCTGTACCCATGTGTGATATCTTGTTTTGTGCTAAGGTAACAGACTCCTTGGGTTCAAAATGAACTTCTTATTCTGCACATGTAAATTACTCGGCACAGAATGGTTCTGACCCATTGTTGAAATACCCAACGTGATACAAGTAAAAATAAAACATCTAATTCAAAATAGCAAGAATCAGGATAAAGAATTATTATTGTTACTCTATTAGGAGTATCTGTGCTATTTATAGTACTCATTGTCATATGTAAGTAACTAAAACTTCTCCTTTTTGAAACACGTATAAAGCTTGTGCAGAATAGCAAGTCTGTAATCCCAAAGTGATACAAAATCCAGGGGAATTTTTAGATTTATACAAGACTTGTTAAGGAAGTACAGAAGAGCATGATAAGTGCAAAGATATCTTCTGTTTGTAGTATAGACTAAGATACCTCCTGCAGTTAGGTAGTCTGAGTACTAACAGAAGTATTTTAGAGCACAGTTAGACTAAAAACAGTTGGAAAAATGAAGTGCTTTAAAAATACACAATATTAGTTCAAACAAATTACATGCTCCAGTTTGTGAAGATCCCAGACATGGTATGTAGTCTTGGACAAACAACCAAGACAAAGGGAATTGAGAGAATATTGCAGGAAATACCCAGTGGCAATGAAATTAGCATTTGAAATGTCTATAGTATTTTGCGTTATTTTTAATTTATACTAACATTTCTGCAAGGCAGTGAAACTCAGATCAGTGGAGGACAGCCAGGATTTGAGTGAGAAACAGTTGAGAGGTATGGCTACACTCTACTGCTGGGAACATTGCTGTGATTGAGAGAGGCCTCGAAGGAAGATAACAAGAGCTGACCTTTTCTGTTAAATGAAAATAAAGAAGAAAAAGGCATTTCAATTTGTGTTTGTTTCAGTGAGTTGCAAGCGGTGCTTGTGCTCTGCTGTTCCTGAGTAGAAGCACTGACTTGACTCTCTCACACATGGTTTTGTTCTGGATTTAAGTATAGTCTGTTCAGAAGTGACATGTGTTGTACTAAATTCTTGCTACATGTCTCAGGGCCCTGTCACACCAGACTCTTCTGTGATAATAATATCCTCTCGGGGACTTCTGCTTTGCCATGTTACCCCACAAAGACCTCAAAGACAAGCTGTTAACTTTTGAGTGTGGTACAGTAGCATGCCGTGCAAGCTGCTATTAGATGAGAGTCACTGTACTGAGACACATCACATTCTTGCAAGACTGTCATGCTTCTCACAGGGTTTTTCATTAGTTAAAGGTCCTGTAATCCCACATGTCCCTGTTTCCTGATTTAGAACACAGCTTCAATTATTAGTGAAGTACTACAAGGATTTTTTGGTTTGGGAGACCTCTGTGAAAACAGGTTAAAGTGACACTTATTCTCTTGGCTTCTGCTTCCATTCTGCCTATGTGGTCAGAGTTCTTTTTTGTGAGTTGCTGTTCAAAGCTTTTTAGGAGACTCTCCATATGCTTTTACATGACACATTCTGTCTGGTTCACAGCTGGGTCATTCAGTTTTTAAATGATTTGTGCAAATATATCTTTAAAGTTAATTACTAAGTAAAGCTAGTCTAGAAAGCTATCATGTGTATCATGATACATATCTTCCATTCAAAACACATTCAGTTCAGCAAATCCAAGAAGAGAACCACTCCAAGTAATCTTCCAGGTAATCTTCTAGAGCCCACTGACCTAGGGCACACCCCTGATATGTCTAGTCTATGGCACAGGTGGCTGGGGACCCAAGATGAAACACTTTTCTGCGAAAAAGAGATCAGAATCCTTCTGGGAGGACAGATGGACTTCTGGTTATGCTTTCCGTGAGGAACCAGAAACTGTGTGCTCTGTTACATATCCAGGGCATGCCTTAACCTCTTGAGATGAGAATAATGACACTTGCCAAACTGTTAGAACTGTACCTTGAAGTGACAAGCATGAAATGCATGTGGTTTTTTCAGCTATGATCTTACAGCCATAGAATGACAGTGTATGATATATTATATGCAGAACGTTCTCTCTAGAGAATAGAAGAGAGGATCTGTCCATTATCCATATGGAGAGTCCAGCCCATTGACATGGCTTAGAATAAGGTTCTCAACCTTTATTTTTAACCATTAGGCTTTTCAGCCTTCTAACTGTATTTTCTATTGAGGGTCCAATAATCTTGATTAATGTCTTTCCATAACATGCAGCTCCAGGCTAAATCCTTCCTTACAGTGTATATCACAAAGGAAAATAGCACAGAAGATTTGTCAGTCTAATTAGACTTTCATTGTCAGTAAGACAAATAAAATTATCTCACTCTTGGTCCTACCTAGGTACTTTCTTT